TAAGAGAAAGCTCTGCCCCCTGCCGTGGTCTTGGCGATGCGTGGTACTGTCAGACAGCCTGCGTCCATAGAGCGAAGTAGGCGTGACGGAATGTAAGGTACTAACATGTCGGTTAAATACTGCGGAGCGAGACCATTTAAAGCTTTATAAGTCAGGAGTAATATTTTAAAATCAATGCGGAATCTCACTGGGAGCCAATATATACACAACCCTCCCCAATTTTTTATCCGGGCTTGAGACCGGCACTGGAGTGCACTGGCTTGTGCTACTCTTGGTGAAATTCTATATTTTAGCAAATTCAGTAATCAAATATCTCACTGCGGTATCATACTAAATATTGATTTAATGCAAACTGAAGCCCTTAGATGCCATGCTGTTAACTACTGATGCACAGCTTCAATGGGATCCAATCACGAAGGATTAATCTTTATATTTGCTAAATATTGTAAACAAGTTGTACGTACAATGTTATGTTTGATTATTTGGGTTTATTTCAGAATTTTCTATCATTACCTTCTTCAGTGAAATTCAGCTAGCTAGTTAGCAGCTTATCTGCTTTTTACTACAACATGTCAGACACTGCTACTGCTGGTGACTTGATTTTGACTCTATTTTAAAAACCACCAGCTGCCACTGGCTGAAACAGATCTGACTGATTATTATATAAAAAAGGAGAAGTAATGATGTTGGTACAGTGATTACACTTGTGTCTTGTTTATAGATCATTAGTGTTGAGGCCTTAGTGTGCTGGTGTGTATCTGAGCCCTGTATTACGTTATATCTCCAGTTCCCGCCTCCAGTGTTACCATAGTACCAAGTAAAACAGAGCTGGTTGAATTCAACAGCACTGTGAGTCTCGTCTGCTCTGCGTCTGGCTCCACACTTTCATTTATTTGGCTGAATGGCAGCTCTGAGGTAACAGCAGGGGAGCGAGTTCAGCTAACAGACAGTAACAGCAGTCTGACCATCACCAGTGTGATCAGAGGTGACACAGGCCCATACCAATGTGAAGCATCTAACATCATCAGCAAAGCAATGAGTCCTCCTTTGAGCCTCACCATTTACTGTGAGTTATTTCATATCATGCATCTTGTTGACAGTCATGAGGTTTATCCAAGAAACATGCATGATATACCTGGTCTCCACAAGAACATGATGGCTCTAAAGATGACTAAATATGGACTGTTCCATTGCAGATGGTCCAGAAAATGTTGCTGTTGAAGCAGCTCCAGTGGGTCCTTTCTACAGCTCTGGGTCTAACCTCACATTGACCTGCTCAGCTGAGTCCAGCCCTGCTGCTGAGTTTCAGTGGGCTGTGAATGGAGCAGAGCTTGGTGAAATGGGCCATGAGCTCAGACTGAGCAACATTCAGAGCAGTCAGAGTG